TAAGGACTGAATTTTCCCCCCTTTTGAAACATTTATTTCCCTTGGTCATTATATGAAAAACCAAAACAGGCCAAGTACAGAAGAAAAATGCCAGCTCAACATTCTTCCTATCCAAAACACCTTTTTGCTTTTTTCTGTGGTTTCCCTTGACCTTCTCAACCTAACCATAGTCGATTCTTTGTTCATCTCGGATCCTGCTGCACTACCTATAAACCCTCATAACAGTACTTCTTTCACAGTATTATAGTTACTTCTTCTGTGTTAAGTCTTACCTTAGAATGTAAACTTCTTATGAGAAAGGGCCCACGTTAGTCATCTTCATATAACTGGCAGGTATTCTGCACTTAATAAATGTTCACCTGAATTTAGTACTTGCCTGTTTCTCAATCCTTCAAAGCCCAATGAAAACTTCTCCTTCCTTTTCTGAGCTTAAAGGCTGAAATCACACTCTACTATCTGCTAACGATACTTTGCACTGATCACTATGATACACACAAGCAAACATGCACACACAAGAACTGGGGAGAGGCCTTTAGACTACCACTCTCAAATTCTTACCACTGCTCTAGAACTCACTCTGGCTTTTATTTATTTTTAAATTATATTTCTGTCATGGTAAATCCCCAACTGTGACTCAGCATCACATTTGGCCTCCTTGCACTTGCTTTCTGCCCTCACTAATACACCTTATTTACACTACATCCATCCTTACTGGGCTCCCTTTAGTCCAAAGAAAGGGGCCATGATCCCAGTATGACCTGTTCTCCCCTTTAAAACTCTTTCTCTTCAGGAACTTTGCTCCAGTAAGTATTTTCCTATGTCTTCTCTTAACTGGCCTCCTCCCCTTGGCCTGTAAGTATGCTCAAACTGTCCCATCCAAAAAAAAAAAAAAAAAAAAAAAAGTAAGATCCTACCCCTGCACCATACTTTCTCCTTCTTTCCCTAAAATAGCATCAATATTCATTATCTCCATTTTACCCACTTTCCATTCAGGTCTTATTCCCAAGCAATCTGGTTTCTGATCCTATCACATTATTCAAACTACCTAGTCTCTCAGATTATCAAACATCTTCTAACTACTAATTCCAAAGGGCATGCTTTAATCCCTATCTTATTATAATGATACTATTTCCTTCATCTCCAAATCATTTCCTTTCCTTCTGTAAGTCATGTGCATTCAGTTTCCTTATTTCTCTAATGATTCTTTCTTAACAACTGAGTGTCAGCATGGCTCTTAAATGTTGGCATTCCTTGTAGTTCTAGCCTTAGCTCTTATTTTCTCCTTCTGCATGCTCACCCTGAATGAGCCCTCTGCTCTTATGGTTTTGAATGTCAATTTAATATTAATATCTCCAAATCTGTATTCTGGAACATTTAATGCTCACTAAACATATCCACATAAATAACTACCTCCTATTTATAAATTTAATTGGTATTTCCTTCACATATGTGATGTGCTATGTCCTTGTTCACTGCAGAATATTGCAATATTCTGCAGCGAACAGGACATAGCTCCTGGCCTCATGGAACTGAAACTGAAACTCCATAATCTTTCTGAATTTTGTCCAGCCTGCTTCTTCCTACTAATAGCTTCCATCTGAGCTGAGAACACCATCAACCTATTTGGCACCCCAAACCAGAAACCTCTGAGCTATACAGTATTTCATGTTCTTTAGTCTCCACATTCAGTACATTCTCTGAGCCCTGTCTTTTCTATGTTTAGAATATTTTTTGAATCTATCCTCTCTTTATTATTACCTCCAAAGTCTTGGTAGACTTCATCTATGGCTCGAATTTGCAATAACCCCAACTGGCTACTCTGCTTCCAGTCTCTTCCCAAGTCCATCCTCTAGACAGCTACCGTAACAGTCTCTCTCCTTTTGTTTATAATCCCTCAGGCATTCCCTATCCTCCAGACTCTCGGACCTAGAGAACAAAGTCAAAGTCCCAGCTCCTTAGCACGGCATATGAAGTCCTTAAGTATCTGATCATAACATTCCCCTCTGGTTAAGCACCCCTCGCCCCCTCCTCCAAGTCCTTAAACTTTTTGCTCAGTAATTCTGAAGTACGTGTTCTCACAGTTCATCCTGCCTTTTTTAATGTGTCTATTCATTTTTATGGATTGCTGCTTCTGTTTTAAACACCCGTGTCCACCAGTCCTCTTATGGATTAAGTTCACCTTATCAGGGACTGTTCCCTGATCCCTCTGCACTCCGTATGATCCTCTCCCAGAGAGAATATATCACATCCTAATCTAAACCATCCCTGCATCTTTGGTATAGAACTGCACATATCCTACCGTACTGTCACCGTACTGTCATGATCTTGCACACGGACAGCTCTCCTAATAAACCCAGTTTTTGAGAATGTCTATGTTTTACACACTTTGAACACCGCTACTTAGTACTTGGCCTAAGTGCCCAAGAGATAAATGTTAACCAAAGCAAAGACTTATATACACATCGGACTCCACAAGCAAACCATTAAGAGTCGTGATGTCATGACTTTATGCATCCTCAATAACTAGTGAAAGATTGTCAATATAGCTTTGTAGAATTAAATTGTGTATATAAATACAAATTACTGGCTCTCTGCTCAGCAGGGAGCCTGCTTCCTCCTCTCTCTCTGCCTGCCTCTCTGCCTATTGTGATCTCTGTCTGTCAAATAAATAAATAAAAATCTTTAAAAAAAATAAATAAATACAAATTACTACATTAAAACAAATAAACAGAAGGGGCACCTGGGCAGTTCAGTTGGTTAAGTGTCTGACTCTTCATTTCAGCTCAGCTCATGATCTCAGGGTCTTGGGATCAAGCCCTGCATTGGGCTCTGCACCACACATGGAGACCACTTAAGAGTCTCTTTCCCGCCTCTCTGCCTCCTCCCTCACACTGTGCACATACAACCTCTCTCTCAAAAAAAAAAAAAAAACAAAAACACCAAACAAACAAAAAAACCCCACAAACAAAACAAAACAAAAAAACCCAGAAGATTTCTTGAGCTAAAAATTTCAAAGCTAATAATCTCTACTACCACACTGGTATAGTAATTAAGACAGTACCTCACAAATGCGAAGTGACCAAATATATGCTCTTATTTTGAACTAAGTTATAATTACACATACCGCTACAGACTCAGATATCTGTTGATTAAAGCTACAGTCAGATGTTATGATCTGTTCTCTAAAGGGTTCAACGCTGTACTTGATTAATCCAAATTTCACTCAGCATCAAACATTTTTCTTGCTAAGGAATGAAAGGTTACAGAATCAAATTTAAACATACTTTATCGTTTACATGAAGCAGAATACTTGAAAGTATATGATCTCTATTTTACACACAAGGAGACCAAAGACAGGAGATGTAATGTGTAATTAGCTACAAGTGCTCCATATATTCCGAGTCTTAACTTACCTTCATTGGCTGAATATTTTACCAGCAGGATTCGACTTGAGCTTAAAGCAATGAATATGGTGCCTAGCAGGAATGTATACATGGTTGACAAGGAGCAGAACATGGGATGACCACAGCACTTGCTTTCCATTCCACTGTTTTTTAATTGCCTTAAAGAAAAGAACATATTCGTGAGCAACGCTGCAGGCAGATAAAGCATAGCACAAATACCACTGATTAGTGAAGAACAGAAATTAGGTAGATGTCTGGCTACGGTTATATCAAAACCAAGAAAATTGAGAAGAGAAACTATGCGGAAAAAATGAAAGAGTCAGAAATTGATAGGAGGGAAAATTCTAGAAGACATAAAAGGCAGGGGCGCCTGGGTGCAGTCCTTAAGCATCTGCCTTCAGCTCAGGTCATGATCCCAGGGTCCTGGGATCCAGTTCTGCATCAGGCTCCCCGCTCAGCGGGAAGCCTGCTTCTCCCTCTCCCACTCCTCTTGCTTGTGTTCCCTCTCTCACTGTCTTTCTCACTCTCTCTCTCTCTCTCTCTCTCTGTTAAATAAATAAATAAAATCTTAAAAAAAAAAAAAGACAGAAAAGGTAGTGCCGGATTATAAATGCCGGATTATAAATTATTATAAATGCTGCCGAAAGCAACTGACATTTTGGGACTGCAGAATTCTGCAAAAAGCAATTTAACTTCCATTCCTATTAGCAACTGTTCTAGAAGAAGAGAACTTCAGATTTCTATTGTTCTCCTCAGTAAGCAGCTCTTCTCTACAAAGTGGGAAAAGGGCTTGCTGGGAAATATTTCGTTACAATAATGAGCCAAGTGGAAATACTCGAAACAGTGCTGTGAATTTGTACTTGAACCAGTGCTAAAAGGTAAAAGAACTTAGAAATCAATGCCTCTAAGGTCGTCTTTTGATTTGTCGAGGAAACTAAACTCCAGGCTGGGTAACTTCTTCAAAGCCTCCCACCCAGGGATGGTGCACAGGGCCTGGGACATTGGGGACAGGCAGGCTTGAGACGTCAACACCGACAGCCCACCTGCGCGCAAGCGTAGAGGTCAAAGAATTACCTCCCCTACACGAGGAAAGCAGGTTTCCCTCTACAGTCGGGGAAGAGGGGTGGCGGGGTGGGCGGGGGGGGGGGGGGAACCTCCTTGTAACACATGCGCAGTAGGAATGTCGAGCGGCGCGCGCCCTCCCCTCATACGCACGCGCACTTGTTTGCCAGCTGGGCGAGGTTACCTCTGTCCGTTCGAAGGGTTTTTAGTGGAGGAGCGCACATCCTAGAGCTGAGGCAGTAAATGTGTAGCTCCGCAGAAGCAGCAGATTTTAGGGTCCATAGTTGGGGAAGCTATAGGAAGGAAAGAGAGGAGAAAAAGCCTCTGCCTCCAAGCCTCCTATTCCGGAACAAAAATCCCAATAACGTCTCGACTGGGAAAGAGCGGACCTGGTACCCATTGCGCAGGCGCGGTCAGTGTTACGCTTCCGGAAGGAGGGAAGAAGCTGCCTAAGCCCGCCCCAGCGCGCCCTTTCTCGCGTCACGTGTCGGGAGAGTCCTGAGTCACGTGAGGCCCAGGTGGCGGCGGTGGTACGGCGAGAGGGAGAAGGGGAAGCCGGAAGGGGCGCGAGTGAAGCCTGGGGGAGAAGACAGCTCCCGAGAAGGAGAGGGGTGCGCGTGCGCCCGCCTCTCCCCCCTAACTCTCGCCTGGTCCCTGCTGTCCTCTCTTACGGCCAGGTGACACCTAGGCCCGGTCCGCCGCCCACTGCCTGGGTGGCTAGCAGCGCGCGCCCTGCCCTCGCGATTGGCGCCGGCCGCCCCTCCCCCTCGTCCAGTCCGTCCCGTCGCGTCCCGTCCCTTCGGGTGCCGCCGGCCGGGTGCCGATGCGCGTCGGCTGCAGCGGGGCTTTTTTCTGACTCCTGGTCCCTTCCCCGGCTGCCCTTCCCGCCGCGTCGCGGGGCCGGCCGCATCTCCGGCCCCAGGATGCAGAATGTGATTAACACGGTGAAGGGAAAAGCACTGGAAGTGGCTGAGTACCTGACCCCGGTCCTCAAGGTAAGCCAGGCCGGGCTTGCCAGGGGCTGTCAGGTACACGCTCAACTCCGCAGGGATTGAGGACCCGGCGCCGGGAGGGACACCGTGTTTTCCGGCGGGGAAAAGTGTAGGAAGGTGGTAAGGGAGGGACACAGAAAAGGGTGCAGCCCCACTAAGGTCTTACCCAGCTGTTCTCTAGGTTTTCGGGCTCCTCAGGTAAACTTTGAGCGACGTGTGCGCATTGCTGTCGCCACCCGTCAGAACCCGGCGCATCTGGGTACGTCAAGTTGGAAGGTGGTCGGCCGCTAAGTGGATTTCAGAACGTTAAATCTTAACATTGGAAAGTCTTTTAAACTTTTTAAACGAGGGTTTTGCTTACCTTTTTAAAAACGAAATCAGAATTTGGTACTAAAATGACATGTCACTATTTTCTTTCAAATTTCATAGAAAGTCTCATAAAAATAATTATAATATTATAATAATTAGGAGTTTGAAATAGTAAGTTGTGACTGAGGTCCCCTCTTAGATTTCAGAGGAACAAGGTGAATGGCAAACATTATCTCTGTCAGTATGGTTGAACCCAGCTAACAGCAAAGCTTCCCTTTCCGAGTTTTTAAAATAGCCGAAAAACTATTAGTAAATCCTGGACTTCATGGATAATAAACAGTATTATCCTAGATATATTTACTCGGTTTTTTTGTTTTGTTTTGTTTTGCTTTGTCAATCATACAGCGTTTTTAAAGTAAAAGTTGTAATAGATTAGCTGTTTTAACGGTGACTTTAATTTTCAGAGATAAACTTCTAGACGTACATTCAAGTTTTTAGTCATTGTAACTTTTTCCTTTCTGATAAGTGAGCAATGAGAATACATGAATAAGGAGTTCTTGCTTAAGTGCTTTTATTTGTTTTTTCAGCTTTCAATGAAAATTTTACAGATCTTAACTGTGGGGATGAAATATCCTTGGATATGGTTGGTCCTATTTATAAGAAGCATTTTAGTATGCTAAGAATAGTGGATAGTTTTACTTTGCTCCCTTTCCATGACAAAGGGAAATAATTAGTCGTGTACTTTTTTATATTTATTTCTAAGACTGATTTTAAAATGATACCTTGTTGGGCCAAGTTTAAAACAAAAAAAGAAAAGTTTATAAATGAAAATTCCAATTCTTGCTATGCTTATATATTTTTTTACTGTGAAATTCCTTGTGATTAATATTAGTCAACTTTGAAATTGAAAATAATTTTGATGTTTGAATCAAATGATTTTTTTGCATGTCATTTTTCAGAAACATATCTACCTAGATATTCAGCATTCAAATAATACACGATTGTTAAACTTTAGTTTCAGAGAGAAGAGTAAAAAAAAAGTTCCCAAATTAAATATTAAGCTAATGTTTTAGGTGCGCATGGGTGGCTCAGTCAGTTATGTGTCTGCCTTCCCCTCAGGTCTTGATCCTTGGGTCCTGGGATGGAGCCCCAAGTTTGTCTCTCTGCTCAGCAGGGAGTCTGCTTCTTCCTCTCCCTGCTGCTCCCCCCTGCTTTGCACGCGCGCGCACACGCACTGTGTGTGTGTTTGTGTCTCTGTGTCAAATAAATAAATAAAATCTTTAAAAACAAACTTCTGTTTTACTAGCCAGCTGTATTTTATTGAACTTATAACAGGATTATGTTTTGAGTAATCATTTTACTTACTCTCCAAACTGAAAAGTGTTAGCTTGTCAGTATATACTTATCAGTATGTATTTTCAGTAATAAGGAAAGCAGAATTATTGACCCTTTCCTTGCCCATCCCTGTTTAGAGAGAGAATCCTTGTAGTTTCCTACTAGACATAAGTAGCAAGGAGGAAAAACTAACCTTTGGAAAGAAACAATGACTTATCTTAGCAAGTAGAAATTTAAGAAAAGTCATGGCACAGTAAAAACCAAAGTCCTTACATGATCTTCAAGCCTCTACTTCATTGGTAGAGGTCCTTATCTCAACTGCTACTTCATTCCTTGCTCACTTTTGCTTGAGCCAGTCTGACCTCTTTTTTACTCCATTAAATACTCTGTTGCCTCAGGTTTTGTATTCGCTGCACCATCTGCCTAAAATGCTCTTTTACAGCCTTCTGGCTTATTCATTTTAAGGTCACTGCTCAGTAGTCACCTATCAGTGAAACCTTTGTTTTCTTAACCATCCTATTTATTTATTTGTTTAGGTTTTGTTTTGTTTTGTTTTGTTTTAGTTTTAGAGAGGTGGGAGGAGGGAGGGAGAAAGAAACTCAAGCAGATTCCGCACCCAACGTGAAGCCCAATGCAGGTCTTGATTTCATGATCCTGAGATCAGACCTGAGCTGAAACCAAGAGTTAGACGCTTAACCGACTGAGTCACCCAGGCACCCCTATTTTTTTTTTAAGATTATTTATTTTAGAGAGATAGTGCCTGTATGTGTGAAGAAGGGGAGCAGAAGGAGAGGAATACAGAGAATCCTTAAGCAGACCTCCCCCCACCCCAACCCCGAGCATGGAGCCTGCCATGCCTTGTGGCTCCATCCCAGGACCCTGAGATCATGACCTGAGCAGAAAGCAAGAGCTGACCACCTAACCAACAAGCCATCCAGGCACCCCACCGTCCTAATTTAAATAGCCATCTCTCTCCTCCACCCCTGACTAGTTTCCTTGCTGCCTCATTTTTTTTCCTTGTGGTTTTCATTACCATTTGGCTTTCCTCACTCCACTAGAGTTTAAACTCCTTGAGGACAAGGAAGAGTTTGGTCTGTTTTATCTGCTCCTATATCCCCATTACTTCAAATAGTGCCTGGCATATAATGGTTATTGTAAATACTTGTTGAATGAATAATCATCAATGAATCCTTCCATTTTTGTAGCCTCTACTACAAAATCTTACATAGAAACATCTGGTAAATAGCATCTTTGCTTTAGAGGAGAGAATATTGTATCAATATCTTGGAGATAATAATGGGAAAGGATTAAATGATTTATGACTTCTAGATTTGGTTTCTAATGTTACTCAATTGAAATGAGATGTTGAAGATGTTGGCTGAATAGTAAGATGTCCCTCAACATTTTTAAAACATTTTTACTGTTCTGTAAAATAAAGATATTTGGTCATTTCACAAAATCATTGTATGGCTTAATGTTTTTCCAAAGAGCTTTGCTCTGTTAAAGCGATGATCAAATTGTAATTATTTTAATGTCAATTTCTTTTGTTAGACTTGTATATTCTTTGGGGTTAGGTACCAGTGATAGATTCTTTTTTTTGTATGTGCTCTTTTGCCTGGAAGGGTGCCAGGCAAATACTTGCCCACAAACATTTTTTTTTTTTTAAGATTTTATTTATTTATTTGTCTCAGAGAGAGAGGGAGAGAGAGCAAGCACAGGCAGACAGAATGGCAGGCAGAGGCAGAGGAAGAAGCAGGCTCCCTGATGAGCAAGGAGCCCGATGTGGGACTCGATCCCAGGACGCTGGGATCATGACCTGAGCCGAAGGCAGCTGCTTAACCAACTGAGCCACCCAGGCGTCCCGCCCACAAACATTTTTAATTTGAAAGTGAAAGAATATAATATGTTGTTCTTTTTGTTTTCTTTAGGAATCAAAGTTTAAGGAAACAGGTGTTATCACCCCAGAAGAGGTGAGTGTTAAATATTTTCTGAAGCTATTATATTTTATAATTATATTTTCCTGGGAGGTTTTTCTTCTTTATAAGAAAACATCTTAAACTTTAATCTTGATTCTTTTGGCTTTATTAGCAATTTAAAAGGGATTTCTACTTCCCATAAGAGGATGTAACTTCCCTCTCAGTTTGCCACTTCTCATATTTCTCTGTAGTTCCTCTTTATTTAGAAATGGAGGTGGGAGAGGGAATGGAAAAGATTCTGATGGTCATTTACCCTTCACTCATATTTGTGTTATATTGAGGCTATACAATGGGCTCTATGGTGTTTGCTCTTGTCTTTCCTCTGTTTACATCAAACGTGAGTTTTTGTGGTTTTCATTTGTAAACTTTGGCTCATTGCTTGGGTATTAAATTTTCTTTCAGTATTTAGCTTAAATATTTTATTGCTACATACTTAATGCTGATTTTTTTTTCTCACAATTCTTTTACTGTTTCTACTAACCAAGTAATGTTGAATCTGCTTAATGCTGAAACTGATGTCTATTTTATAGGCGAGTTGTGTTTTATTGAACTTTTAACATAGAACTTTGTTTTGAGGAATCATTTCATTTGTTCACCAAATCTATATAATAAAAGCTTTCTTTTTCCTTTAAGTAGTTTGTTCTGTTATCCTTCAAGAAATAAATACTGTTCTAAACATCTTTTTACATTCTAGTTTCCTCATAGTTATGGCTGCATCAGACTTATTTTTTAGTCTTAATAAATAGCAAAGAATTTATTTAAGTATCACCTTTAACTTTCATTAAAAATACCACTCATTGGCAATAGAACTTTACTTACTGTTTTGAAAGAAACATTTTGAATTGGGGCACATTTTACGATCTGGCTGTTGCTGTAAATTCTAAGACCTCAAGCCTAAAAATTAATGGATCTTTCAGTTTTCAATAGTGATGGAATCTCTTGAGTCCCAAATCTTTGTGAATTCTGAGAATGGTGTGCTGAATTAATCTGTTACCTAAAAATATCTTTATTTTTAGTGAAGACACATGGTGGTATAGAAAGAACATAGGAGATCTGCTTTCTAGACCAATTTCTCTTAATTTCTTCTTTTCTGATTTGGGCAAAGCTAAGCTGTGACACAGGCCTCATGTTTCCTTGTCTGTAAAATGAGGGGTTTTGTCTAGACATTGTCTAAAGGACCTATTCTGCCTTAGGCACAATGAGTTTAATACCTGGAATGCCACATAAAACTAAGTTGTTTTTTTTTCTTTTTAAAAGATTTTATTTATTTGACACAGAGAGATCACAAGTAGGCAGAGAGGCAGGCAGAGAGAGAGGAGGAAGTAGGTTTCCCAGTGAGCAGAGAGCCCGATGCGGGGCTCGATCCCAGGACTCTGGGATCACGACCTGAGCCGAAGGCAGAGGCTTTAACCCACTGAGCCACCCAGGCGCCCCTAAAACTAAGTTTTGATATTGTTAACTTTTCTTGCCAAACAGAGGTGTAATTTAGATTTGGCTCTTAAAACTATCTGTAATCGGGAGCAGGGATGGAAGTATGCTTTTCTTCTTGTACTCTTTGGCTTTATCTATGGGAGGATGACTAATTGGTAAATAGATGGTTGACCTTAGAGATACAAGTCTATGGTCATTGGATAGACTTATGCTGTTTTAAAACAGCTACTAACCATAGAATGAATAACACTTAATGTGTATCATTAAGTAGTTTATGAATTTCCTTCTTTTAAAAAAAAATGCAAGGCAAAACTAGGTCAACTGGGTACCCACCCCATATGCTGGATTGAGATAGAGTACAGTTACCAGATTGAGTTAGAATGAGTCCAGAGGATGGAAAACAAGAGATAATTTGCTTTTGATAACAGATAGAGTTGATCTATTTATTTGTTTTCTCTTACTGTTTCTGGGCTTCTGACCATTATCCTCCAGCTCTCTCTGTTTTCTTTGGAAGTACTGTGTTTACAAGAGGTGTAGGCATTATCGAATACAGAATTGCCTGACTAAAATTACTTTAATATACATACGTATGACTTAGGTAGAGTATTAGTAGTAGAATAGCTTGAAGGGTAAAGTTGTTGACCAAAATGTTAACAACTGGTTTTATCTTGGAGTTATTCAGTATTGTATTTAATCACCAAGAGAAAGCTGCTGCAAGTGTTACTGAGAATTGAGAAATTTGAGTCTGCCTTATGTTTTGTTTCATTTGAGCATGTGAAACCTGCAATAATGAACATTGCTAATGAGGGCAGATGTACACAAGTACTAATTATCTGCACAATTTTATGTTCTTTAGAGTTTTTCTTACCTTCTGGTGTTTTGTTATTTTTGAGGAATTTTAATTTATTTTTAAAATAATCTCTACACCCAGCGTGGGACTGAAATTCACAACCCCAAGATATGAGTTAGATGCTCTGCCATCTAAGCTAGCCAGGTGCCCCTAATATTTTTTTAATAGTTGCTTCTGGAGGTATTAGGGAATAAAATATTAGAGTCTTGTGACAAGGCAGTATCGTTAAAGAATTTTTAAATTTTTAACTCTTTGTTTTGCTTGCATTTTGTTGAATTAAATTCTCCTTTTTTGGTGGTGACAAATAGTTCTTGGTAACCACAGAGTTGAAGGTAGCATCTGGTTACAGTGACCTAAAGTGCTTAAAACTTAGGGAGGGAGTATTGTTTTCACTTGGGTTTTTGTCTTTACCTAACTAGTTTAAATAATAATAAGATTCTTTGAAATAAAAGAACATAAACATTCAAAAAGTTGCTGTTGAGAATATGCTGCTAAATCTTGTTAATGTATCTTCTTGAAAGAAATTACTCTTAGAAAACTTACTTTATAAAATTTTACTGTCAAGGGTGCCTGGGTGGCTCAGTGGGTTAAGCCTCTGCCTTCGGCTCAGGTCATGATCTCAGGGTCCTGGGATCGAGTCCTGCATCGGGCTCTCTGCTCAGCGGAGAGCCTGCTTCCCCCTTTCTCTCTGCCTGCCTCTCTGCCTACTTGTGATTTCTCTCTCTGTGTGTCTAATAAATAAAATCTTTAAAAAAAAAAATTTTACTGTCAAATGAAAATAGAGTATTATATATAGACATTCTTTTCTGAGACAAACATTGGAAGATTAAAGATACTGTATTTTTTTTTTTTTTTTTTGCTGTGTAATTAACCACGAACAATACATGAATTTAAGTTAGAGCTATTATAAAATAGAAGTAATTGGGAAAGTATGTGTGTGTATTGCCCGAATTGGGACACTGCACTTACCCTTAAGAGAATAAGCAGGATTTCTGTCTTACAGAAATATCAGGTATAATGTATATCGTGTATAATGGAAATTCTCAGAAGGTTAAACTCTTTCTTCCTGAGTCTGTTTTTGATTCCTGAAGAAAAACAAAAGCTTGTGCGGTGTTCAACCTGCCCAGAAAGTCTAAGGTGTTAGAGGATTCAGTTTGCTTCTAACTTTTCCCATTGTTTGGCATTACATTTGTCACTCTTGTTAATGTGAAAAAGCTTACAAAATGGGCTTTATCTGAACTTAAAAAAAAAAAAAAGAGAAATGTGCACTATGATGTCATAAACTTCTTACATCATAGGCCTGTATCATTTTCTCAAAGATCTCCATTGAGTTTTCAGCCCCTAGCAGGAATCTGTCTTCATCTTATTTATCCATAAAATGGTTTTTTTGAAATTTTAAGTCCTGCAGTGTTACTTTTATTCATTTCATGATATAGTATCCTTTTGGCATTATTTAATCCAATTTAAAAATTGAATTTAAAATCAATAGCACTCAATGTTTTTTTTCTTCCAAAATTTAAATTTTATAGATGTAAAAAATTTTGCAGTTTTAATAATAATCAAGAGCCATCAGAGTGGTAGAGCAGGTTTGGTGCTGTTTGCATTTATATGATTATTGGGTATCAAGCTTACATGGGATGATCACTTCAGTATTTTATCATCTTATATTCAGTGATGTTCAATTTTTCTTTTTCCTTTTTCTTTTATATCCTTTTAAATCCTGAATAGTTTGTGGCAGCTGGGGATCACTTAGTCCACCACTGTCCAACATGGCAATGGTAAGTAATCTTGAGTCAGGAATATAAATTAGTAAAATGTATGACATTATAATTGCAGCAGTTTGCAAAATGAATTAGGGCATGAACTTTAGAATGACCAATTTAACTCTGTTCTAGTAGATTTTTCTGTTAAGCAGTGTGACCGTGATACTTAAAATAAAGGCATACTTAAAATAAAGGCTGACTGACAAATTGGCTGTTATACCTATTTTGATTTGCTCTGTTAGAGTAAAAGACATTTTTAAGATAAATGCCTTTACTTCCTTTATTAGTATTCCCTTTCTCTATAGTGTCTAGGTCTAATTTTGTGGTGGATCTTTAAAAAATAATGTTTAAGACCAGCTCATTTTTTTCAAATTAAAATGTCTGCTGAATATTTTTATAACATTAATAAATCCAGATATTTTGCAAAGCCTTGGGTTTTTTTAATCATAAGACTTTCTATAAGGTTCAAAGTATGCTCCCATTTTAGGAATTGGCTGTAAAGGAAGGTTCATGATACTCATTAAAGTTTGTAACTGGAAATCTGCTTGGTAATAGATTTTTTACATTTTTTGGTTTTTTCACTAACTTTTTTAATTGTAAAAGTAACATAAAAAAAGTAATTTAAGCAACTTACCAGATCTTATGACATATTTTAAGTATTCTGAATAATAAGAGGATGTTTTAAAACAAATGCTGTTTCATTACGTTCAAGAACTTAGGGAAAAACCACCTGACTATGGCTGAGAAAGTGATCCTAGTACTGGCAGAGCTATTTTAATTAGGCTAGAATTGTTTTGGAATTATCATCTTGTTTGGATATAAATAGTTCAACTTGTTATATTCTTTTTTCTTTTCATTATAATTCCCTTAATGACACTTTTTCAGTTGTGGTTGAAAGGTATAGTTTTAATTTGGGAACAGAGGTTCTAAACTTAATGAAGTTAGAACTGATAATGTTTACCTTCATATTCAAAGAGCTGAAATAGTTAAAACTATTTTAAGCCAAAGTTGGAACTCTCTTTTATCTGTGGCCTATTCTGTTCTCAGTTTTTGTATTTGACTCCTAACCCAAAATAGTTTTATTGCTTTTTATCAGTTCTTTATCTTTCAGAACACTGTTTCTTAATGTACCAAGAAAGACCAAAATGTCAGTTTCATTTATTTTTATGCCCTTGTCTTCCTTACGTGCGTTTCTATTTCATATTTAAAATTGAGTTAATATCATAACAGCTCTCTGATGATTTAGTAAGGGTGATTGATTTTTTTTGGATTATAAATTATCTATTAAAATTATATTTGTCTTCATTCTAGTCTATAATTTTTATGTATTTCAAGTCAAATAGTTATATAAAATTAAAAATAATACCTATTTTATAAAAGGAACTAATTTGGGATTTTCTTCAATATAATAAACATTTTCTTCAGATTTCTTTGTGATAGTCCTTATTTGTCTGATTAGTTCAGACGTACAATTTATAGTATTGTTACAGAAATATGTTATATGGACAGGATAGTTTCATTTTATGAATTGTGATAGTTGAGATAATATTTAGAACTCACCTATACCCTACTCCGGTGTCCACACTTCTGGCTAAAATGTAGGAGCCAAAGGAACATTTCACTTTAAACCTGTGCTAGTAACAGGTTATTTCCATGTTATAGTTTCATGTCTACAAGTATCATCATGACCGTATTGTATGTTCTTCACTCAGAACTTCAGGCATTGCCATGTCATTATTGATTTTGACACTTGAGAATGGTCTAAAGAAGTCTAGAAGGCTACTAAGATAGTAGGTGTTTTTCTGGCTTTATCTTGTGCTCAGATCTATGGTTTCAACTTTAGACTGAAGCTTTGATAAGGCAGATTTTTATTCAGATGTTTGTGACAGATAACACATGCTCCTCCGTTTCTGGCCAGTTCCATTAGGTTACCTGCAGAAGAATCTTTGAACAAATTCTTAGTAAGATAATCTAGAGTAGTTATGAAAAATCAGAAATGGGGTAGCTGCTTCTGACACACAGAGACTGTAGTGTAAGAACAGGAGCCGTGGATTCACTTGCTCTTCTATATTCCGGTTTTCTGACCTTGAGCAGTCTGACTTTTTTCAGCTAAAATGGGGACGTTAATATTACCTCTTAGGGTTCTGAGGAGTAAATAATAATGCATGTTAGAGTTCTAAGTCGTATACTTAGCAAACAGTGAAAGGTGGTTTTTTTTTTTTTTCTGTTTTCAGTCATATTTTTTAATATTATCATGTTGTGATTCAAAGCATCTTTTTTCTCTCTGTTCCAGTTTTAATCGAGTGGCAGGAGCAGGGATTTTGCCAGCCACCTACTTTGTTATGTAATGTCCTACAGATATTTTTCTGACTACACTTGATCTGAAGATGAGCAGTACTTGAGAATTAAAAGTCTGAGATTATACTCCCTAGGGAACAATGTTTTCTTTTTGTTTAGAGGCAAACATAATAGTTGCTTAATAGTTCTATATTATTCTGTCTTTTTTGTTTGATATTTAATCTAAATTCTCTTAGGTATCTCTGAGTCTCTTAGTACATTTCACTTACAATGTTATGCTCTTCCATACCCTAACATACATCACTTAACGGCATCCTTCTGAAACTAGTCCTAAAACAGTTTTCTCAAGAGTGTGGATTGTGTAGTTTTGATATTTACATGTGATATCTTCTGTCTTTGCTTTTTAAAATAGTTCTTGTATTTTGGTGCTTTTTGCTCTTTTTAAAGGGCTACCGGGGAAGAATTGAAAGTGAAGGCATACCTACCAACAGGCAAACAATTTTTGGTCACCAAAAATGGTAAGAATTATATTGCATATATTAGTAAATTTTACACAGAGTTATATTTTTAAAAAATAACAGAAGAAAGTTAGCTTTTTTTTTTTTTTTTTTTTTTTTTTTTAAGATTTATTTGAGAGAGACAGAGAGGGAGGGAGAACAAAAGAAACAAGAGAGAATCTCCAGCAGACTCCTGCTGAGCGGGGAGCCTGATGTGGGGCCCAATCCCAGGACCCTGAGATCATGACCTGAGCTGAAACCAAGAGTTGGATGCTTAACCAGCTGAGCCACTCAGGCACCCAAAACCTTAGTATTTACTGATCTTAATTTATGATTGAAGCCATAGAGAAATTTGGAAATTTGATGAAACTCTGTGTTCTATTGCTAGAGTATTTTTTTCCTTATTTCATTTTTACCTCCTTCCTTTTTGTTGCTACTTTTTGCCAAAAAAGGTCTAGTTTTAAGATGTGGAAGGAATGGACCCCAGCAAATTTGGAATTTGGAATTGCAGTTGCCTTTTTTTAAAAGTTGACTTTATAATTATAAACTTTTTTAGCTATTTGATTTTGATCTTCTTTAGATGTAAACATTTGTCATGAAAAATGAAACTGATACTATCTTTGACAGCTAAAAGTTCCAAGCTAAAGATTTATTATCCATTGTGTCTTTGAAAGATTGTCTTTAGGAACAAAAAATGTTTTTTAAGCTACTAGTTTCTCATTTATGAAGTTAATTTGAAAACAGCTTGAGAAGGTTGTTATAGTCCCTATCAGATCACATAAAGTGCATTGATTTTTTTCCTAATCTATTACAGAAAGGGAAAATATGTATAACACATAAGTTTTCTTTCCTACAGCATATGTCTTATTAGAATTGATCATTTATATCCTTCTTGTTTTTTAAAAAAGTCAAGAGGTTAATAGCCATTTCTGGGCTCTACCTTATCATGGTTTTACATTATAATTGTTCAGTTTTAGACTTACGTGAATAATACCTGTTAATTGACACATATATATGAAAAACTTGGCTCCAGTATTGTATAAGATGGTAAAATGTAGCAGTTTAGTGAATTTTTACATTGGCTTATCCATTATAAATGCCTGAAACTTAAATGAATTATGAAATACATATTAAAACTTACCATAACATTGCAAACTGGAGGTAACCTCTACCACCTCTGAAAATGACAGGTGGTCCCTTCCTGCTTTGAGAGTGAAGCTATTAAAATAAGGTTTTATTATTTATTAGCCTGAAATTGAACAGTATCATCTCTGGCTGTAGCCTGCTGTTTTTCAGAAACCATCAGGGTAAAGAATACATAGAAAATTTGCTTTCTACTTGTGTTCTGACAAAGCTATTTAGGGAAAGATAAACCTGATCATTAATATGTCTATGGGCTAAATACAACTTTTTAATCACTTTTATTAGAAGTAAAATATAATATTTCCTTAAAATGGAATAAATTATCTTTTTTCTAATAGATTTATATGAAGCAAATTATGCGCTAGTAACTGTACTTGTCATTTTTCTTGTAGTGCCATGCTACAAGCGGTGCAAACAGATGGAATATTCAGATGAATTGGAAGCTATCATTGAAGAAGATGATGGTGATGGGGGATGGGTAGATACTTATCATAACACAGGTAAGAGGAGAATAGAATACATATATTAGTTTAAATTGTTTTAAACATTTTCTAATCTTTTATTACAGTGTTGATTTAAAAACAACAAAAACAAAGGATACATAAGGCACAGTTGTCCCAATAGACTTTTTTTTACCTGAAAAGAAGCCGGAAGACAAATTGGAAAAAAAGAAAAAATGCCCTTGGAGTATACCAAATTTCTCTAGTACTGCTACTTTAGTAGCAATTTGAAAATACCTGTATCATTTTCTTTATTTCTAAAATAAGAAGGACAGAATTGCTGAGTATGCATATAGCTTGCTTTAGAATTCCTTATTTACATGTCATTCCGTTGCTGGATGATGAGCTTTAGGACAGGAACTATATGTGTTTATTTTACTCAGGACCTGACATTTTAAAGTAGTTAATAATTATTTGTTGAATGACTGTAAGAGGATTGTAAGGACCACATCCTTAGGTAGAGAGTCACTGTTGTATCCTCAATATATATCACAGTATCTGGTACAGAAGTTGTTCAGTAAATTTGTGTTAAAAGAATTGACTAAATTAAAGCCTTTTGTAAGTGTATGTTTGCAGAAGTTGTTTGTAAGTCTGAAGATGAATTTTTATTTCAAGTCCTAAAAACCTAGCTTGCCACTATGTTTATATAACTATGTAAATGTACATTAGCATATGCTGCTATGGCTATACTAACTTAGCCATACTAACTTAGCTATACTAACTTAGCTATAGCAGCATATATTAATCTGCATTTACATAGTTATATAAATATATAAAGTACTATGAGTTAATGTTAGTTCATAGTTAAGTATAAGTTAATAGTTAATTTCCATAGTTATATAAATGCCATTATGACTTAATTTTAATGAGGAAAACGTGTCCTGAGTTTAAATTGAGAATACTAAAAAATAAGTTTTCTCCCTCGAAGTCCTAGAAAGTATACCAGAAGTAGTGCTAGAACAAGGTTTCTCAGCCTTAGCCCTACTAACATTTTGGGCCACATGATTCTTTGATGTAGCATTTTCTGTACATTGCAGAATGATTAGCAGCATCTCTGGGCTCTGCCCACCAGATACCAGTAGTATCCACCCAGTTGTAATAACGCGGAATCCCTCAGACGGTGCCAGATATCCCATGAAGGGCAAAATTGCTGCCGTCAGTTGAGACGCACTGCAGTAGTCAGAGGGCTAAGTAATCTGCTCAGGAAAAACTGCCTTCTGAGGTCAGTTTTCCCTCTACTTTTAAAAAAGGACACTATCATGTGTTTGTGATGATACAGGCACAGATTCAGGGCTTGGGCTTCTTGATTTAAAACTTGTTTGTTTCTTGATGGTTAGTGTTAATGTCAAGGCCTTGAGAAAATAGTAGATTGAACAATTTTTTTAAATGATTTCAAAAAATCATCCTATTGCCGCCACTGAGAGACTGGTAGATGGACTTTTTATCTTTTGACCTTTCCGAAATTGTTCAGCTGCTCTGCTTTAGTTTTCCTGTGGTGGAAGATGTGGGCAGTGGACTAACTAACTAGAGCCCTTAGTTATAGCACTGTGTTTCTAGTGTCAAGTAAATGACTTATTCTGATGTCTGGTTGTATTATATTTCTTAATCACTAGCTCAAAATCTAGGTGCATATTTACAAAGGCATTCATTACAGAAATAAGTAGGCGTCATTATGATTGGATTGATGAAAATCTATTACAGAAATTCAAGAATTGAAAAATGTTTGCCCTGCTGGAGAGCTATCCTTAGAATTTTAGTTTAAACTATATTGTAATTTGATTAAAACACTGCTTCCAGTTAACTTAGAAGGTCATGTGCCTGGTTCCTTATTCACCTCAGTTCTCTTTGCTTCATCCTTGCTTTTCATAGGTTTCCTTTATTTCTCTTAGCCCTTGTATTGGTCATGGTTCTCCAGAGACACAGAAAAATTGGATGTGTATATAGATATAGGTATATAGATATAGATAGATTTATTTTGAGGAATTGGCTTACATGATTGTGGGAGTTAGCAAGAATGCAATTCACCGGATGAACTGACCAGCAGGCTGAAGATCCAGGTGAGGATTGATTGTTTCAACTCAAGTCTGAAGACAGTCTGAAAGCAGAATTCTTTCTTTTTCCTGAGCACCTCAATGTTTCCTTATAAGGCCTTCAGCTGATTGGATGAGGCCCACCCATGTTATAGAGCGTAATCTACTTTATTCGAAGTCTATGAATTTAAATGTTAAAATCTAAAAAACACCCAGACAGCTACATCCTGACTGGCATTTAACCAAGCATTGGGACAGGATAACCTAGCCAAGGTCACATAAAATTAATCATCACCGTACTTGAGAATGTTACTCTCATTAGAGTCATTTGAGCTTATTTTTCCTTTGCCAATATGTCCTCCTACTCTTAGAAGAGTCTGGTTTAGTCGAATACTATTACATTATTATATTTGGATGGATTAAAGAGGTTTATTTTGTTTTTATCTATGTACTAGATTCAGTGAATCATTTGTAATACCAATTCATTGTGCTAAGATTTGGGTTTTATTGTTATGAAATAATCAGATCTATTATGTAGTAATTTATAGAAAAACTGTGAAGTAAAAGCTTTATGTTAGAGCTGTGGATTTTGACATTTTCTATTAGTGAAAGTGAGTTATTCTTCATGTTGGAGATTTTGAACAGATATATAAAGGTTTTAGAAGATTAACAAAGGGGCAAAGCTTATTTTGTATGTAGGGTTTTTTTTTTTTTCATTAATGTATTTCATCCTGTTGAATTTTCGAATTAAAAACAGTGACATGTATTTTGAGTTAGAAATATTATTTAGCTGAGTTGTGGTGCCCCCATCTGCTTAGTGCCACCTTCATTGACACAAGTAGGTTCAAGGTGGTTGCTTAATGAGGAGCAGCAGTGAACAGAATATTGAACTAAAAGTTAGCACATGTGGATTTGAATCCCAATTTCTTCACTAACTATGAGACTCAAGTAAGTTATTTCATCTCTGGAGACTTCGTTTCTTCACAGGGAGAAATGATTGACTAATTACCTCAAAAGATAGTGTTTGTAAGGCTGAAATAAGCTATGGAAACAGTAAAATAGAAAACCCCATATAAATGTGATATGGTATTACTACTTCTGGATGTCCTAGATTTCTGAAACAAATTACATTAGTATCTCCTTGAGAAAATTTTGATGTGTTTTTGAATAAAAATAAATATGAGTCCTCTAGTCTAATGTGTTCACTTTGAGAATGAATATGTATTGGATAGAGACTCATACTGGGAAAGTAAATGAGGAATAATAAATGAGTGATAGAGTAGAATGTAATTCATAGTAAAATATCACATTGCTGTTTTTTTATTTCAATTTAAAAAGTGCTTTTGGTTTTACTCCTTTTAGAGTTCATTTATAAAATGCTACTAACATTGCCTCCTCTTTTCAGAGCAGTTGTGAGAATTTAGGTAATTTTAAGCATTTATATATTTCTCGAATCTGGTAAATGAAAGATGTTTACAATTTTATTTCAGTGTTTTTGAATTTTAAACAGGTATTGCAGGAATAACCGAAGCAGTTAAGGAGATTACATTGGAAAGCAAGGTACTGGTTAATTAGTTACATTTGTAAATTCAGTGACATAATTATTTGTGTATATATATATATATATATTATTATTCAAACTGATTATTTTCAAGCTTTTTAAAATTCCAGTTGTTTTTTTCTTCTCTCACTTTCCTATATCAAAACTGCTATTTCCCAGTGCTTATTTTTTTAGTCTGTTGTTTGATTAAAAAAATTTTTTTGAGATTGTAACTGGTAAAAACTACTAATTTTCACCAATTGGGAAGGCTCCTAGGCTAGTTTAAAAGAAATAGCTTTTTATTTTTAAGTACAAGTACCAAATGTTCTGTAAATGGAGGCTTTTGAGGTTTATGTACTACGGTTTCTTAATTTACTGCTATTTTGAATGGATGATTTTATTTTTGAAAATTTTAAGGTAAATCTTTAACATCATCCAAAAAATAATGTATTTTGACTGAGTGAAAGCTAAATCGGTTAGGTTTTATTGTATGGTTTATTACGGGGAGGGGAATAAAAATCTGTAACTGGGTGAAATTTTTCTCCTTGAAAATTTTCTATTCATACTAGAAAATGATTGCAGTTGTTTTATATATTTATATTTGTTTGAAGTGATTTGAAAATAATACAAAATGCCTTTACCCTTATCTTTGCTTAATTATTTTGTTAACAGATCTCTTTGAGGATAGAATATTTGGACAGAGTAATTGACTTTCTTTTGTCCTTATGAAACATTTACTACAAAAGTTACTAGTTTTAGATACTCTCTTTTGTGTGTTTTTGTCATTTGGAACTTTTGGGATTCATAACTGGGTCTTAACAGGAAGTGTTAGAAACTAAAACAAGTGTTTTTCGTTTTTTTCAATGTACAATTTTATGCTTGCTAGGGATTAAATTTCAGTTCATTGGCCTGAAAATTCATCTTTCTGAAATTCTACTTTTTGGAGAATTTGAACAACTAAAGAGAGATCACCAAAATGGCTCTTGCTCCTTCAGAAAATCTTGTTTACTCCAGCCGCTAATTGTATATACTTCAGACTTTGGGAATGATAAATGGCAGAGTAGTGTGGATAGCATTTGTTGATAGGTTTATGGTAATTCAAGAACTTCTGAAAAATGCAATAATGGTTAATATGGTACTTGGTATCCCACTTAACATTCTTATATCATACTAAAGGGTGACTGCTTAGAATAATGTACAACTTGAATGTCTTTCCTGTCATTTCCTATTTAATATAAAATTACAATATTTTTTATAATTTCTTAAAATACTTGTTCAAACCCAAGTATTAATCTTTCTTGTTGGTATCTACTGTATTCCTCTGTTTCAAGTATGATCACCATAACATCAACATGATTAAAATTTCCCTAAATGATTAGTTTGTTAGATACTGGCTCATCTAATAATTACCCAGATACTATCATCTATGGTTTCACATTTTGGGTGTGGTAATGATAACATACAACTTAAGTTTCTTTTGGTAAATGGAGTCTTCTCTAAGTAAAATTGTACATTAGGTGAAACTAATGTGCAATTTTTCTACTTTACTACATTGACTTCAGATTTTTTGAATAATTGATTTTGTGAAATGGTAATTATGTATTAGGCTTGTCTTTGGTATTCTTTTATTGTAGTGCAAATATGGTTTAAAAAATGAACTGAAATCTTACATGTTATAATAACTAGTCTGATAGTTTTACTTAATTCAGCCTAAAATATTGTTCACAAATTAGAATATGTTTCACTTATAATAGTTTAACTATTTACTAATAATTTGTAAGTTTAACTTACAAATGTAGTGTGATTTACAAATATGTATCTTTTTTCTCCTTTAAATTATGTATGTAAATTATAACTCTGAACCAGTTTCCTAATATTAATGAATTGGTTAAACAAAAATACTATTTTTTGGAAGTGCAAAAATCGTTAAATTGTTAGCTTAGGTGATTCTTGGTGCTTCTATGATATTTTTTATATTTTTCAGTGACAGCACTTAGCACATCACCTTTCATATTTGTTTTATGGGTTTGTCATCTCCACTGGAATAGGAGTTTCTTGACGAAAAGAACTGTCTTTACCACTGTTGTTTTCTCAGTGGTTTACACGTGGTGACACATGAGTGTTTGGTGTTTGAACTAATGGACATACTTAAGTGACTTTAAATATAATTTATTTCAAAGGACAGTATAAAACTTCAAGATTGCGCAGCAATATGTGAGGAGGAGGAAGAAGAAGATGAAGGAGAAGCTGCAGATATGGAAGGTATTTATGTTCTAGATTTTCTTTAATCATACTAGAATGTTGATTTTGGAATATTTATAATTGAAGTAGACAAGAATTGTACTCCATTGAGTTCTAGATTTTAACATTAAACAGAGAATTTTGTTTAGTTTAAATTTAGTTAGTGCGGAGCAGTCTTGGACTGTTGTACTTTACCTAGGACATAGCCTTGAAAGCATTCTTTCCAGTGGGATACATCTTAGGCATAAATCTTTAATGCAGTTAAAAGTTTGAAGATGCAGATTCTTAAGCTAATTCTTAAAAACTATTTCAGAGGGGCGCCTGGGTGGCTCAGTGGGTTAAAGCCTCTGCCTTCGGCTCAGGTCATGATCCCAGGGTCCTGGGATCAAGCCCCGCATCGGGCTCTCTACACAGTGGGGAGCCTGCTTCCTCATCTCTCTCTCTCTCTGCCTGCCTCTCCGCCTACTTGTGATCTCTCTCTGTGTGTCAAATAAAAATCTAAAAAAAAAAACAAAAAAAACTATTTCAGAGCAGAACAAAGTTTGCTCATTTATTGTGTATTTTTTTTTTAAACCAAATACATAGAATTTATGGTGAGATAGAAATGTTCTCTATTATGCAGAAGTGGAAGATGGTGCCAAGTATAGTTGAAGCACCAAAGCAGCAAGTAGTGTTTGTGGATGAGGAGGTGACACATAGCCAAATTGCCAGAGTAGCCTTGACTCAAAGTACCTTTTCTTCTGTTTGTTTGTTTGTTTGTTAGAGAGGGAGAGAGAATACAATCAAGGGGGAGAGGCTGAGGGAAAGGGAGAAGCAGGCTCCCAGCTGAGCAGGGAGCCTGACTGGGACTCCGGGCTCAATCAGATCCTAGAAGCCCGGGATCATGACCAGAGCCAAAGGCAGAAACTTAACCAACTGAGCCACCTAGGTGCACTTTAAAGTACTTTTAAGTTTTGTTTCTTAAATTACTTTTAAGTTCTCATGAAATCTAGGTGTAGATCTGTTCCTGAATTCTAATAAGAGTTTTGTCCTTATTTTTATGGTAAACTCCCCATCCTTTGAAGAAATAAAACGAATTACTTGTAACCCAAATTGCTCACAGCAACCTCACATACCATCTCTATGATCAACTTCATATCTAAGCCTCCAGTCCAGATCTCCTGAACTTCAAATGTACATGTTTTTATTTTCACTTGCACCTGAATGTCTTATAATTGTCAGCACCACCTTCTTATACAAATAGTTTCTGGATTCCATCAGTCTGAATTGTGTACAGTTATCCGAGCTGGGGTGAAGGGTAGACAGAATACTATGAGTAAAGCATTCTTTTTAGAGTACAAGCTGTGGGACTGCCTTAAATACCTGACAGCCTTTTAGTGTGTTTTGTTACATTTCTCTTGGACAGAGCTAAAGAAAAAAATTGCTTTATATGGGATTTTGTTTAAAAAACAGTGTTGATGGTATAGCAGGTGATATAACAACAATTACTACAACAGGCAATTTTCATTCCCTGTTCAATAAACACTGGGCAGGATAGTTATCTATATATCAGGTACTGTTCTTGGTGCTAGAAATAAAACGGTAGATGTGATCTTATGGAGATTATATTCTAGTTATGGGAGACATAGAAAAAATATTAGATAAGCAATGCAGATGCTATATTAGATGGTTATAAGTGTTAGGGAGAAAAATAAAGGAGGGGAATGGGACAGAAGGTCTTGGGAAAGGATGAGTGTTATTTTAATAGGTTGGTCAAGAAAAACCCAATTGAGAACATGAGTTTTAAGTAAAGCCTGGCAAGAAGTGAGTGAACAGGCTATTTGGATATCTAAGGAATTATGCAAAGGCCCTGAGGTAGGAGCTTGTGTGGTGTATACAAAATACCATAAGCAGGAGCATCTGGCTGTTTCAGTCTGTAGAGTGTGTGACTCTTGAACTCAGGGTCATGATTTCAGGCCCCACATTGGGTGTAGAACTTACTTTAAAAAAATAAATATGCTGTGTTCAGAGAGGAGCAAGGGCAGAAGCAGAGAAGTAAGGCATGGAGTCAGCGAGATAACCTTGGGCCCTGGCTTTAATGCAGTGAGATGAGAAGCCATTAGAGGGTTTTTCTAAATAGAAAAGGAACTTAGAATGCCATACAACATTTTAACAGAATCACTGTGAATGCTGTATTGAGAACAGATTGAAGAGGTTTAGGGACAATAGTTAGGCTGTTTTGATAATCTAGGCAAGAAATGATAACTTAGGCTCAAGTGGTAATATTGAAAGTGATGAGAAACAAAATTCTGGACATATTTTGAGGGTAGGTTCAAAAGGATTTGCTGCTGAGGGGGAGTAACATGAGAGAGACAGAGTAGTCAAGTCTGACTCTAAGGATATTTGACAGTGTCTGGAAAGGTGTCTTAACTGAGATAAGGAAAAATATAGGGCTAGAATAGCTTTGGAGGGGGAGTTTGGGAGTTCAGTTTGGATGTGTGCTATTTGCGATGTATGTTAGTCATTCCACTAGAGCTCTAAGTAAATAAATATCCAAGTGTGTAGCCAGTGATACATTTGGGAATTATTAGCATTTAAAGCCATTGAGACTAGATGAAATCATCAAAGGAGTAAGTGGATAGAGAAAAGACAAGGTCCAGAAACTGAGCCCTTGGCTACTGTAGAGTTTTAAAAAGTTGAGCTAAGGAAGAACCGAGCATAGAAGATAGTAAAGGAGAAGAAGCCTGTGAGGTGAGAGACACAGCCAGAAAATATAATATTTTAACAGCCAAGTAAAGTGTCAAAGAAGGTGGGACGAAATCATCCAGATGGCCCTGTGAGACATCAGTTAAGATGAAAACTGAGAATTTACCCCTGGATTCAGTAGCATGGAAGCCTATGATGATTTTAATCAGCACATTTTATGCAATTATGTAAATAGCCTTGTGTATGCGATGGAGTCACTGAGTGTCTGCAGTATCAGGATGCTGTTCGGTATTGCTAATAGGCTGTAGCTTGGATTAGGCGTTGGCAAGCTAACTTTCTCTGGCTGTGTCAGTTAAAGAATCTGCTGCTTTGGAAGTGTAAAATCAGGTCCCTCATACCTTTTCGATACCTTCAGTTAAAAACAAAAGCAAAAGTCCAGATTTTGAATGATACTCTGAAGTAATATATAGCTTGGTTTAGGAAATTTTCTTGAACTTGATTAATCTTTTGTTGCTTTTTAAACAGAATATGAAGAAAGTGGATTGTTGGAAACAGATGAGGTTTGTAAATTGAGTTTTTAGTTAACATTTAGTGAATAAGCTTGGGAATTAGTATTCCTAATAGTATCTTGATCTTTCTAATAAACCTTTATTTATATGTTTGTGTTGGTTATAGTATATAATGTTTTAGCTTTGGCTTTATGTTCTGTTTGTTTTTGAAAAAAATATATAGGGTGGGAAAAATATTTTCTTAATTGTCACATTCATACTGATTTTAATGGGTTTAAATTTCTTCCTATATTGCCAGGCTACCCTAGACACAAGGAAAATAGTAGAAGCTTGTAAAACTAAAACTGATGCTGGAGGTGAAGATGCTATTTTGCAAACAAGAACTTATGACCTTTATATCACTTATGATAAATATTACCAGACACCACGATTATGGTTGTTCGGCTATGATGAGGTAAAAACAGAAAATATATTTTAATGTAAATGTTTCAAATTGTTGGATTTAATTTCTTTATCATTAGGTCTGTGGGTATATATTGTTGCCTTTTAAATTTTAGAAGTCGTTTGTTTTACAATTTCATGATTAATATTGAATTTGATTCTTACTTTGAAGAAACTGTGAATTATTCTGTGTGACAATAACACTACTAAGAATCAAACAGAAATAATCTGTTAAGTATTTATTGCTTGGTCCCTGAGGGTTACTCCTTCAAAATATAAGGGAAATTGAACTTAATTTATTATATTAAGTTTGTTGGGTATTAAATTTGATGGATATATAAAGCATTTACAGAATGATCATATTGGCATGTGTTTTTTTTCTTTAAGACAGTAAACCATTTTTTAACTAATTTATTAATTGAATTAAAGGATAACTGAAATAAAATTAACTTGCTTTAACCGTCATTCTTACGACTATGAATGAGAAGCAAAAAAGTAAAGCGAAATACACCCAAAAGATGAAATACAAAGTTATAAAATGTTTGACAGCCATGAACTTGTTTTTTTTGTGGGATCTTTATTGCATTAGGTGGTGGCTGAAGTCGCATTAGGTAGTGTTGATGTACAGACTCCTCCACTCTCCTCCCTTCACTGGTATAAATGTATTATAAACTCTCCCTGCAAAAGTCTGGTAGTTCTAAATAGTCTGGAATTCTGTATTATAGGTGAGGTGGAGATAAATATATTTTAAACATGGAAATCTAGGTCTAAAATTTTTTAAACAGTGATTTCAAAACATTTTTTTATTGTTTCAGCAAAGGCAGCCTTTAACAGTTGAACACATGTATGAAGACATCAGTCAAGATCATGTGAAGAAAACAGTGACCATTGAAAATCACCCTCATCTCCCACCACCTCCAATGTGTTCAGTTCACCCATGCAGGTGTGTTTGTGTGTTGTGTGTTGTGTGTACTTCATGGATTTGTTACCTGGGAATCCAAAGTGCCCTGACAGAAGAAATGTAATAAGCAAGTATAGTTCTCTTTTGTCTTTCGTAGAAATGTTCTTACGCTAAAACATAAAAGAAAAAGGAAAAAGTCACCAATTTAAGTTAAATTCATTAAGAATTTTTTTTGCTCTCTCTGTGTGTTTAATTATAGTATAGATCTTTGTGATTTTACTACTATTTTTAGCTCTGAAAATAATTTAGAAGATGTTTTTTAGATTAAAAAAATACCCATCATTTAGACTTGGGTTTGCCCTATTGTGATGTAGCTACCTGTGAATGTGGAGTATGAAGTTATCTTTGTGTTTTTCTCCATGACCTATTTATCTCTTTTTATTGGTTAGTGAAGGGAGATGTATGCAGAGTTCTCTTTTCCTTTACTCTTCAGTTGAGAGATGTTCAGCCCTACTAAGTCAAGTGCATTTTATAATTTGGGATTTTCTTTTTATCATTGTGTTTTTTCAGGGCCAAATGAGTAAACGGAGTCTGTATCCATGATTTGTTGTTATTTCTAATGGTAGCTTTTGCAAAACATTGAGAAATTCTGGTAACAATATTTTTGAGATGAGAAATTTGGTATTCCGTTGACTAATTTGATGCAACATTCTAGTTTTTAAAAATTCTTTAATATTTTCTCATTTTTTGCGGCCTCTTGATTCTCAAGTTTTATCATATAGAAAGCCTTGTTCATTTTTCTGGCTTTTTTTATGTTAAGAGTTGTTAATATTGCTAACTGAAAAGTAATTCAAGAGTCATTAGTTTTAGTTTTTTATTATCTAGAAGGTTTTTATTTTACTCTACCCACTCCTTTAGTGGTTTGAGGTTTTAGGACATGCCTCATTTTGAGGCATGTCTCTCTCAGGTGTAAATTTTAGTCCAGAAAAGAAAGAAGAGGTTTAACTGGTAATTAATGTTAAACATGTTAATAAATGACTGTGTTATGCAATGTAATGTAATAGGGCCAAAAAGCTGGGGGTCTATAAGGTGAGATTTCAAGTACATTTTAGGCCTTGCCATCAGATTATGTTTTTGGATTCTTGGAGCTGATACATTTACTCTTATCTTCTAAGTTGCCTGCCTCTGTCATGAAGTTTATACTCATAAAAGTTGAAGCAGCATTATGTAAGCCAGAATATATCTAAAAGATCATTCTTTTGTGCACTGCCTTTTTCTCAGTTGATATACTTAGGCAATTACTTTGATATATCATTTTTCTGTAGGAAAGGAAAGACACTGGTTGACTGTGAAGAGATTTGTGGATTGGGCAAAAACTTCAGATAAACATATTTCTTTATATAAAGCCAAAAAATTATTTCTAAATAGAATCAGATGGTGCCTGGGTGGCTTAGTCGGTTAAGCGTCTACCTTCGGGTCAGGTCTACCTTCATCTCAGGTCATGATCTCGGGGTCCTGGGATCAAACCCTGTGTTAGGCTCCCTGCTCAATGGGAAATTGCTTTTCATCTCCTTCACTGCCCCACCCCATGCTTTTCGTGCGCTCTTTGTCTCAAATTAAAAAAAAAAGGAAAAGAAAATCAGATAAATTTTATAATATGCATTAAGACAAAGACAAAATATATAAACTTCTTAACTCCAACCAAGTTAAATTTTTTTAAGACCCAATTTTGGCTTATTCTCTGCTAAATATTTGAATAGTCAAAATGACAGCATTTTAAGTATGTCCTTGTTTTATTGATTAGCTGTCACCATGTAGCTTTTTTGAATTTTCCTGGTCTGATTCTTGTTTGTTTCTTAGAGCAGACAGTCCTTGCTCTGCAATTATACCCTGGCATGATTTCCCTTTCTCTGGCTTTCTGCTGTGGTACCCCTTCCCCCCACTCCTCCCACTCCTGTTACAGGAAAACCAGTGCTGTTGTGTTTTGACTATGATTAGACTTTAAAAATTTAGCCTGTGTTCCAATAAAACATTGTATATGACTCTCAACAACCTGACTTGTTGGGAGGAAAATATTTTATAATATAACTATTATGTTAAAATTAAATCACTGACACTAATAAGGTAGATTTCTTCACAAAAACTTGCTTTTCCTATTTTGATCTAATTGATCTATGCTAATAATAGTTATTTGTTCTTTTGCTTTTAGGCATGCTGAGGTGATGAAGAAAATCATTGAGACTGTTGCAGAAGGAGGAGGAGAACTTGGTGTTCATATGTATCCTTACCTATATTTGGTTCCTAGGATTTTCTTTTCCTCTTTGGGAAATACTGGTACAGTGTTAGTGCCACAGTACCAATAACTTGTTTTAGCCCCTCATAATGGAAGTCTTAGTACAAGTCTTTATTTGGGAAATGTTACATTGTGATACTTCTGCTTTGTTAGTTGGTTAGCACATGTCCCTGTGTGCACCAGTCAGCTCTGCCTCGTTACAGAGCCTCAGGTCAGTATGTGCTTTTCTAGGCAGCAGCTTGCCAGTTCTTTTGTTTGTCCAAGAGGCAATGGCTAAGAGTATTTGAATATAAAACCTTTGCTCTTGATGGAAAAGAAACTCAGTGGGCATAATTTATTGATGAAAGAAGAGTAACCTACTAATTTAGAAGATAACACATGAGTATCTTTTCCCTAAGTATATTTCCAATTTAACTGTTAACAAAAAATGTGCTTCCCTCAGGTAAAAGTAAACTTAGGTTGTGTCATTCTAAGGTCTCTGAAGCAAAGAATTCAGTTTAACAGATAGGTTAATTAAAAAGTAAAACACACAAAGTATATTTCAGATATTCTTAAAATACAGTTTTCTCCAGATAAAAGCACCCTTCTCACATCTTACTATGATTTTCCTACTTTCTCTGTGGTTGACAAGAGGAAACTAAATCATCTGTTGGATATCGAAGTACATATACCTATAGCATGGATTCATCAAAAGCAGCCAAAATCGGTGATTTAGATGCCAAATAATTTGAATTAATTTGGTGCTAGATTGATGTTACATTTGCTTGTTCATGCCACTCAGTGTTAGATGTAGACTGTGAGGGGTCACCCCTCTCTTGGAATTACAGATAAACTAAATTGCTAATAAAGGGGGTTCCTCAGAGGACATATTTGACATTAAAAGAAACCAAGAACTTTTGGTCCAAACCAGATTTACTCCTGAAACTGTGTGATGCATAACTTGAGCATTCATTTCTGTAGTGGAGGGGCTAGGTAGCAACTTGGAAGATACTGTAGCTACAATGGACTCTTTCTAATAAAATCCTGATTTTTTTTCCGTGTTCCACAGTACTTGGAAATCTTAAGAGTTTAATGTTTATTGGGGGCATTGATGAGTCATTATTAAACACAGAGTTTTCCAAGTTTATGTACATAAACTAACTTAGAATCAGTCCTTACAGATGGTTTCTGCTTAATTTTTTTCTTTTGCTTCAGTGCTTTTATATTCTTTACCCTGCCTTATTTTCTTTCTTTTTTTAAATTTTTAAAAAAATTTTACTTTATTTTTTCAGTGTTCCAAGATTCATTGTTTAGAACGTGGTGCTAATAATGCAAAGGTTGCCTTGTTTCTAACATAACCTAGCAGACTAACAGTAAAGGAACCATTTCCCACTCACTTAAATATGAACACCCCTGTCCTTATTTTTATATCAAAATAATTGGGCTCCTGTGAACTCATTAGGAAGTTTCACATTCAAATATTAAATGGGAGTGGGTCGAGCAGTCTTAAAGTTATAGAGAACCTCATGTTGAATAGACACAAACTTGCATGAGTGAATTTTTTTAATATACTTGATTTAAGGTTTTATCTTACATATTTTTTCTGAGAAATAGGATAACTACAATGTTAGTTTAAATCATAGTACCATTTACCAATCTGTTTTCCTTAGCTAAAGACCTTTAGGTATCTTCTAATTTTCTTGAAGTTTGTACAAGCTGTCATTCCAACAATAGAATATGACTACACAAGACACTTCACAATGTAACGGAGAGAGCATAGAATCTATCCTAATTATTGTTTCTGATTTTTAAACAATTAACCCATAGATGTGACCATTGACCATATTCACCAATATGTACAATTTCTCTAATAAAGGGACTTAATATGTTTATGCATTAAATAAAAAAAGTTCCACTACCAGACTTATTTGTTTAATAAAAATGAGTGTAGAGAGACTGTTTTTCTTTCTTCTTATCAAAAGGTGGTAACAGCATTTTCTTTAAATAAGAACTCTGGAAATGAAGAAGCATCTCCTACAGGATAAGAGGGTTTTTGGTTCACATATAGGAGGAGGGCATTAAGTGTGTTGTGATAGTGCGAACTAGGACTAAAAAATACTGCACGCTAGACATACCTTCCCTTTCTCTTCCTCTTTGTTCTTTTTATTTTCGGTCTCCTCCCTTCTTCCCCAAGTCTCCTACCTGCTAATAGCTAATACTTATGAAGCACTTACTGTGTGGCAGGAAATGTGCTAATACTTACCTTGTTTCCTGATTGTTTTAGTAAGTTGATACCACCAAAATTACTTTATATTAAAGATTGAGGAATATTTTTCCTATTGTGATTGCATGGTAGAATATTAGCCTTTAAATGGATCCCTTTGTTGTATCATATC